AAATTGAACATATAAAAAAGTGCACCATCCTTATAGGGTTTAGCTTTTGTTTCTAAAGAAGAGCTACTTTCTAATTCTGCATTGGAGCTATAAATTGAATGAAATTCAGTTTCCAGAGCTTGGAAGTTGTCTCTCCATCCTAACAAGTCAAAAATTGAACAGTCTGAAAAGTCAACAATTCTTGAATCCACAAAGGAGAGAGAGACACAGGGCAAACTGCTGTCCCCACAGTTGAAGAGATAGGCATGGACACAGACAAGGGTGAGGGGAAACTACTGAGTAAGCATAAATTTTGAGTTGTTTTAGATTTCATGGTTTTTGAAGGGTAATTGATGAATTGCTGGAAGGCCCATGTGGACAACTCTGAGAGTTAAAAACTCCAAGGGACTTAAGCATAGAGAGGGCCCACAATTCTGATGTTTACCTCCACATGTTTGACCAGATTCCCACAGTAAATTCTAGAAAAAAAAAAAATCTCCTAATGTTTCCAGCAAGAAGAGGTGAAAGGGACCATTTTGAAATACAGCGAGCACTCTGTTCTTACCAAGCTTGCCCTCAGAGGCAACTGGTTGACCAGAGCCTACCCTGCTGGGGAATTAGTGGAGCCTGACTGTCCTGGGGGATGGAAAATACTCAGTTGCTGCCCTCTAGCCAGCCTGAGTCATGAAGGGGAGAAAATACTAAGAAACTCTTGTGAGGGCCACCATCCTGAGGCACAGACACACTAAAGACAGACTACAGATGCTCCCCCAACCACATTACTTAGGCTGATTTACAGAGCTTTCTTTTACCTGCTACATCAAGAAATGTAACACATAGTACAAATGAAAACTACAAATGTAATTTTTAGTTCTCTAGTGTTTGTATTAAAAAAGGAAGAGGGAAAAGGTGAAGTTAATTTAAATAAAGTACATAATTTAATCCCAAATTAATAATATATTAATTAATAAATTCCAAATGAATATTATTTAAATGTGTAAGCCATATAAGATAAAAATGAAATATTTTACATTTTTCTTGTATTGTCTTCTGAATCTGGTGTGTGGTACATCTCTGCTCAGATTCACCATATTTTAATTGTTTGTGCAATGGACAAGGAAATTCTAGACTCTCCACTTACAAAATGACTGACCTTGGACACATAATCAAAGTTTCTTATCTGTCCCCTCTCTGTGCAATAGATCTAGAAAAAGCTCTGTCATTTCAGGTGAGGTATAAGGCTAAGTAGTCGACCTGGTAGGTTGACTAAACCAAAGTCCTCTGTATCATCATATTAAGAAATGGGTCACCCAACTCGCCACTTTGTCTTTCTACCTTTGAGATTTTGGTCGGTAGACGGAAAAACAAAATGACTGTGAACCTGTGCACTCTGTTTGAAAGCAATTTCTGGTCAGCCACGGAACCCAAAAGGTTAATGGAGTCAAAGAATCTTGTGTGTAACTGACCACTTGATTCAGCATGAAATAAAGATCTGGAGGGTTTACACAGACAGTATCAATGTGGAGAAGTGTGGGCGTGGATTACAGTGTGAATGACAAGAATGCAAGAAGCCAGAGACAGCACAGGTAGCAAACAGAACTTCTGTGTACTACTCTTCAACACCAAGGCCAAACACCAGGCAAAGACCTCCCATCTCCATTCACTTAGCAACAAGAACAAAAATGCACGTAGTAAAGCAGGTAGTCTCATTTCATGACAAAGAAACAAAGGTTCACAGTGATTGCAAATTTGCCAAAGCTGATATAGCTATTAGGTGTCTCTTTCATTCTCTAGTGACACCCTCCTATTCTTACTCAGTACAGTAAGGTTATGTGTGCTGCGGTGAAAGACGAGGAATTGGCCTCTGCAGAGAAATAGGAACTAAATATTTTAGAGTGAAACATTCCCTCTTTCAATGGGTTGAGTGGAAGAGATCAAGCACAGATTATAGAAGAGGGAACCATATTTTTATTCCACCTAAATACTTGCATAAATATTTGGTTTTGATGATGCTTAGATAAAACACCAGTCACGAACTAGTTTCTTCATTGGGTAAAGCAAAACAACTGGATTAAACCACAGCTCCTTTTTTTATTAGTCTGTTTATTAAAATACTGGCAACTCACTTGCAAAGTCTGGTCTTGTCCAGAACAGCCAAGGAAACCTGAGGGAAGAGGAGGGTTTTGGTACAGTGGTGTGGGTGAGACAGAGAGCAGTGCTCCCAAAGACCAACCCCAAAGAGCACGTGGCTCTGTTATATTGGCTGCCCCAGACACTCTCCAAATTATGGGACCCCAGAGGATACTGTCTAGACCAGTTCTTTTGGCCCTGGGGCTGGCAGAATATGGAACCAGAGAGCCAAAGCATAGTCCAAACATCTCTCTGCATTTTTTCTGGGTAGACAGTCAAGCTGGATGGAAACTAAATCTCCAACAATTACCCAATGGCAAGAAACAAGAAAGCAAAAGGCTGCAGGCACAGCACTTTCTTTAGCCCAAGAGAGATATGCCCAGGCTGTCAAGCTAGAAAGCATGACCTTTCTGAAGGGACAGTCCTCAGGAAAAAGCATCATCTGTGAGATGGTGTGTGTTAATCTCAGTGATGACACCAACTATTGTAAGAAAAACACATCAACATGTAATTGAAATAATTTATTGAGCACTAGAGCACCACAAAAACAGACACACATTGTGTTAAAATACAGCGTCATCAGCCATCAAAATACAAAACGACTATTCTTATATTCCAATTTTTTAACCATGCCACCTGTAAAATGGTACTGCTGCTTAACACAGAAAAACTGCTGCCCCACCCCTGCTAACCCCAGCCCCTCCCCCACCCTCAGCAATATTTACTTATGGGAAATACACATTAGAGAACCCCCAAACTAAAAAAAAAAGTTTTCAAGAGATTTTAAAATAGAGCATTTAAAATATTATCAGTGCATTCATGAGAAAAGACAAAATAATACAAAACAAAATGTCATTCTGAGAGAAAAATACCTGCAGAAATAAAAGTGATTTACATAGAATGAATGGAAAAGTGGAAGAGGAAATCAGAAGCAACACACTCAAATCTGGGATCGGATTACATCCAAAAAAAAAAAAAAACAACAACAAAAACAGGTTGAGCATCCAGCCCATCTCTTTCTTTTCCAGTTTTTAAACTCATAACTCCAATTCATTATGTTTATTAATGATCAGGAAATTCCACAAAATTGAAGTATTCTCTACCCAACAGCTTCACTTTGGATACACACCTCACTGTGCTGTTCTGTAGGTGAAGCTGTGAAGAATCCCATGTGAACGATTTATTTTTACCTTAAAGTTAAATAAGAAGCAGCTGACAAACTGACATATCCCACAGACCCTGGTGTAAGATGACCTTCTCTGCAATCATGTGGCAAATCATTGATTAAAGCAAGGTAAATTCTAGCCTCAGATTATAGATAACTCTCATTCAGGGAAGGAGTTTTTGATCAAGGGAGGTATTGACTTGGGCCTTTTCAACCTTCAAAGAACATCTGTAAAAACCTTCGTTTCAATAAAGTAATCTAAATCACCTATGCTGACCTGGACTGTAGCCTCCCTTTAAAAATTCAACCAAATGTAAATCTTTCCCTCTGGACACTAAAAGAACTTCCTTATGAACTGTCTGTTCTTAATTAACAACAGATTCTGTGAAAACACTGATTAAACTAAGTTAGAGAAAACTTGCTTAACTCAGTCCCCCAAATTTGGGGTTTCAGTCAGATCTTTAAACACTGGCTAAAACTAAAACATGTCATCTCTATTACCTACTTAGCTCTAGTTTTCCCAAAATAGAAACTTTAACCTCTGAACTGATTAGCAACGCTCCTTGGAAGATGAAGGAAGACTACTGAACTAAAATCTATTCCTTAACAACAAAGGACAAGAGGACTCCAGTAGCTTATGTCATAACAATGAGCAAAACACATTGGAGAAAATACTATAAAACATGATTTGCAGTGCAAGTTAAAATCTAGGGGCTTTACTCAAAAGTCCTGGCCAGCTACAGGAAACACCCAATTCAGACTGATCATTAAAAAGAGCCCAAGTGGAAGCCCAAGCCCAAGCCTGGTTGACATTCTTACAGAATATTAAAATTATGGTAAAAATTTACACATTACATGTTAAGTAGTTAGTGTTTTGATTTAATAGTTTGCAAAAGAGATCTGCAGACGTGTTTCCATTTACACTGGCTTCTAGGCTCTTCTATTGCATTAATATAGGTATGTTACAATTATCAAAACAAAACAAAAAAACCATCTAGCCCAGCGCTATAGCAATACTTGAACGTCTGAGGTTGAACCGGGACGTTTCAAAAACCGTCTCAACATTTCACTAGTTTACTAAACTGACAAAGAACCATTTACAATGAAAAGAAAAAAAAAGCCTTACAGGCTTTTTCTGACTGAAAGTTTCCTTTATTAACAGGCTTTTCAGTTCTGAATCTTACTAGAAGCTTCCTTAGGCACTTGGTATGGGGTCTTTATCGTAAGGCAAACTTGCTTGGTCATCTAGAACTCACAAGGGATTTTGTCCCCCTTTTTTTGCTGGCTCATTTGAGTTCAAGCTCTGTAAGCCATCCGTGAGCTCCTGGCAAAGTATTTGGTCTCCATTTTATACACCTGTTTTATTTTCCAAGGGCCATGAAATGTTCGTTCTAGAGGGACACACAATAAATAATTCACTGTTAACTCAAAGAGGAGGAATGGGAAGGAGGCTACTGCATAGCGTTACAGAAAAATCAAGTGAGGCATGGTACAGACAGTATGTACAGCAACTCCACTTCACGGGATTTTCCTGTTTTTTTGTTTGTTTGTTTGTTTGTTTTCTTTCACATAATTAACACTAACAAATTCTTCCAGTGTTTATTTTTTTCTTAAAAAAAAAAAAAAAGGTTTGGCTTCTCGTCTCTCTCACTGACTGAGTGACTGAGTAGGTGAAATGCTGAATAAAATCTTCAACTTCTTTTTGTTTGTTTCAGACGCCAGTTCTCACAAACAGAACACAAACTTCCCAAGGGTTTGACGTAGTACCGCTTTTTCAGATGTTGTTGGACGCTATCAAAGCAAGGTTCTTTCGTGTTTTCGTGTCACAGACTTTGTCCTCGTCATCGTTGTCATGAATGGCCAATCTTTGGAGAGTCTTAACTGCATTTGCAAGACTTCACAATCATATTAGAAAGCTGTTCGATCTTGGGTGTTTTGCCGATGTAGTAAAGAATGGTGAGAGGTTCTAAATCCTGAGACACACAGCATGGAGAAGCAGAAGCTTCTGGATTGATGGTGTTGTATAAACTGAGGACCTGGGAGGTCAAAGATAATATCACAAAAGAAAAGAAAAGAAAAAAGGTTACTATTTTTTTTATATATATGTATATTAAGAACCACCCTCTACTGTTATCAGTCATAATGCCAACTAGGCAATATAGATTTTTTTTGCTTTCCTTGTCCTTTTTTAAATTCTGAATTACCGTCAACTTGGTAAGGACTTCCTCAGCCATCCTTGAACTAATTTCCCACAGAATCCCTTTCTCCTCCATCTTAAGCAAATGCTTCCACATAAGACCGATTAGGCAAAACTACTCATTCACCAGCTTTTCTCAGCCATCCCCAATGGTTTTCCCTCATTCGGTGCCTCCTGCACATGCTCCCCAGACCCTGGGGACTTCGGTCCTCTTAGTGTTTGGTGTCATTTCTACACTAGCATTGCACACTGCTGGAAGAGTGGAGGGTTCAAAAGCAGCCCAGAGAGAAACTTGTCCGCAGAACTTAGCCCCCTCTGTAGCAAAGGGGAGTCTTTTACCAACAGCAGGCCATCGGCTCCCCACCAGTGATGAAGAGACATTTCCAAGGATGCCATTCACAGGCTAGTCAAACAGCTAGTGACCTTTTCCTCGAGATTCACTGCCACTTTTTCAGCCCAAGACAGAAGATTGGTTCAACTCAGCCACACTGACTACTTCATTAAGCTCCTTCTGGCTTCTTGGGGAACTGTCCAAACCACATATGTGTGACCATGACAGTTATTCTTCCTCTGTCCTTGAAAAACAAGAGTGCCCTCAGCCTTCACACATGCCCTCTGTGTAGCAGGGAGGAGAATTATGTTTCTACTTGGCATCTGGGCTGTGCCCACATCACAGCTACTGGGGCCACAGCACAGAGGAAGCAGCCTGGCCAGAGAGCTCAGACAAAGGGACAGGCACAAACAAGTTTCCTTTACGTGGCCAAGCATGTGATGCACCCCCAGGGCCAAAATCTCCAGGACAGCTAAAAAAGCAAGGGAAGAAGGGGTGGTCTACATGGCCACGCAATGCCTAGCACTTGTGGGCATTTATTAATATCTCCATCTACTTCGTGTCCCATTCACGCATGATTTTGCATAGGAATTAAAGAGGGATTTTATAACACAGACGATCTAAAATAATTGATAGCCTCCTGGGTTTGAATTCAAGTGAAAGTGTGAGGCAAGCGTTTTGGCAACAGGTTCATTTTCCTAGGCTGCAGGAAAGACCGTGCTTCTAAAACCTCTTTAATAAGCCGATTTACAGCGGCAGAATCCTAGCGTGAAGCCACATTTCAAGAATCAGACTCAATAGACAGGGCAAACGGAGGCCTGGGCGGGAAGTGTGGAGGCTGCCTTGCCAGCCTCAGTGTGCCCCTCACTCCTCATCCAGGCAACTCACCTGCAAGGCCTAGACCTTGATTTCTTTAAGCAAAGTGAGAAGTAGAGACAAGCTAACTTCAGAAGCCCTTCCCATCTCTGAAATCTGATGATGGTGAGGCACAGGGAGGAAGCATGGGGACAGATCTCATTATTTCATAGAAAAAGTGTTAGCTGATCTAGCGGGGAACCTGCAGCATCCTTCTGAATTGGACTTCCAGCATCACAGAAGTAGTGTAATAAAATCTGCAGCCTCATCTACTTTGGGTTCTGTTCAAAAAGACTTAAAGGTAATTTTCAAATCATGCTCACATACATCATCTCTTTGTTCTTCTTACAGCTCTCAAGTGTGACATTGTTATTTTAAAGATATTTTTAACAGACCTTATTTTAAAGATGCCTTCAAAGGACGTTTTTTACTGATAAGAAATCAGAGCTTTGGAGAGGTGAGGTGAGTCCTTATTGCTAAGCACTAATGGTCTGCAGTGACAAAGCACCCACTGATCCTTTGTTCTTTCTAATAGGACAGTCCCTGGTGTGAGTGATAATGGATTCTTTCTTTTCCATTTTAACTATATTTATTTATTTGACAGATAGATAGATGATAGATAGATGATAGATAGATAGATAGATAGATAGATAGATAGATAGATAGATAGATAGATAGATATTTGCATCATTGTTCATTTTAAAACAATATTTACCCCTCCTTACCCCTCCTCAGGTATGGACCCCATAGAATTTTCTACCCCACTCACCAACACACCATCAGCACAGCCCCTGTGCCCTCCCCTCCCTCATCCTCATTCATCTCCCTCCCCCCCCCCATACGATAATTTTTTGAGTTGGTAGTCTGGTCCCGTCCTATCTTATGACACATGATGTTAAGTGTTACACTGATTTCAAACAGACTTTTTTTAGTTACCTTTTTATACATACTGTAGCTGTTAAGATATAAAACAAAGGGAAACTTAAACCAATGTCAAATTGCTTATAATCTTATTGGGATGGCAGGACCCACTCTTGAAACCATCTGTGATTTCACAGGCAGCCTGAATTCTTCCTTGTGACTCAAAAGGGTTTCTCCAGTACCCACTGATGTGCAGTGATGAGAGGGCATGAGGCTGAAAGGAGTTCATCTGGAAATACTCCCAGTAGGCAGAAGAGACAGATCAGCAAATACTTACTCTGCTGTGCTGAGTGTCTGAACTCCATAAATATGGGCAGGCTCCAGCACAGAAGTTAGCATTGTACCCTTTGGGCTCATGTATCCATTTCCACCCAAGATCCCTCTTGAAATCAATGTAAAGAGGACGCAGGCAGCAATTATCTTGCACATTTCTGTAAAAAAAAAAAAAAAAAAGTGGGGCAATGGAGATTTAAGAACTGGGCTTCCTCTCCATGCCCCTCATCCCAAACCAGGAAAAATGATTCATTCATCTAATCAACAGGCATCCAATGGGCAAACATCATGGGCCAAGTTTTAATGACTTCATTTGAATCTGCAGACACTTTCACAAAGCAGAGGGATGGCAGTTCACTAGACTGCTTTCCTTTATGAGTTCTCTGCCTGATGTCTTTGTCCATGACCTTGAAAATCAGATCTTTCACTTGAACAGCTGGGTCTAAGCAGAGAGGTGGTTGGTAGAGGTCAAACATTTTCCAACCAACACTGCAGTTTGCCATCTCAGCTCTATCACCCTTTCAAGTATAAAATGAATGACAACAGCTATTTCCAAAGAGCCATCTAAGACTTTATCCTTTGAAAATAATTTATTTCATGTCATGTTTCTTGTTCTAGGAATGAACAAGAGAAACATGAAGTTTTGCTTAGTGCAAACACTAGCTCTGGTCACCAAAACATGCCATTTTACTCAGGAATTCTGACATTTAGGGCACTTAATTAGTGGGGAATTTTACTGGCCCATAACTGCCAAATAAAGACTAACAGATGGCCAACAGACATGTGGAAAGATGTTCATCCTCTCTTATACTGAGTGCAAGACAAATCAAAACAACGAGAGTGGTTATTACGCAAAGGACAAGGAACAACAAGCGCTAGAGAGGGTGTAGAGCAGATAGAACCCTGTGCACTGCAGATTGGGGTGCAAATGAGAGCCGCCATAATGGGGGGCAGTTGGGAGAGCCCACAAATACTTAAAAATAGAAATTCTGCAGCACTTTCTTAGCCCTCTTTGAGCTAAATAAATATTTATTTATTTTTATTGATTGATTGATTGATTTTCTTTGCACCAAAGAATATAAGAACACTAACTCCAAGAGACTCCTGCATTCCCATGTTCTTCATGGCATTGCAGAAGCGTTGGAAACAACCTGAGCATCCACCAACAGAGGAGTGGGCAAGTGTGGTATATAAATATAGTCAAGTGTTGCTCAGCTGTAATAAAAAAAGAGATGTAGTAGCCCTGCCATTCACAATAACCTGGATGAACATATTATGCTTGGTGCAGTGAGTCAGATAGAGAATGACAAATACCTCGTTAAACTCAGGTGATTCATAAAGAAATGTAGCAAGTGACTGAACTAAATAAAACAGTGGTAAACTTTTAGGCTAGAAGAGCAAAGTAGTAGTTACCAGAAGGCAAGCAGAGGAGAGAGTCAATCAGACAAAAGGGGTCAACTGTAGAGAGAAGGATGGGAATTGAATTTGAAGTCTTGAACTTAATTGATGTAGTAGATACAGAGATGATGTATAATGATGCACTACTGAACCTTACATAATGCTATAGTGTAACGTGATTTAAATAAAAATAATTTTTCTTAAGGAAAAAAAGGGCCTTCCTCTTACCGGTCTGGATAAGGAACCAGAGAAGGTTATTCACATTCTCCCTCCAGGAACTCCCACAGGAATGGGAAATAAATTCCTCTGACCCCCACTTTTCTTATCCTGTAGCTAAAGACATGACAAAGAGAAGTCCTCTGCTGTCTCTGTCATCTCTGTTACTAAGAATGCGATGTGACCATGACCTCATGTCACAGTGAGGAGGAAGGCTTCATACCAATGGTGAGGCTTCCAAATTAGGGAGCTGTCTTCCGGCATCTCAGGTAAACTGAGATTTGCTCTGCAGAGCAGACAACTCATTCAACTCATTTTTTTTTTCTTCAGTCCCAAAGAGCTTTAGATTTGGGAGAAAACCAGAGAAAACCAGGCTAGTTTGCTCCTCTCGGAGTTGGTTTGATGATAAAGAGCTGACAGGTACAACCCAGGTGTGCGCGCTGGGAGCCCCTGGATGATGATGTGAGAAGATGCGACAGCTCTCCTGTATTCTCCCTGGCCGATGGCACAGAGCATCCTGCAGCTCAACTCAGGATGAAAGAAAGGACAGAGACAGTACAAGAAAAATTAGGTAATCACTTTGGTTAGTTTTATTTGCTTTACCTAAAGCAATAAGCTGCATCCAAAGCACGCTTCTTCCGCCGGTTGGTCTGTTGAGACTCAAGTCTGTAGGAGGGCAACAACATTAGCAGGAGATGTGGGCTCTTCCCACTGTTTTTTTTCCTAGTGGACTTTATAGTTTTCTGATCACCACTGGTATGTGTGGAGGTGCCATCAATACCTTGAAAAAATGCATTTGGGTAATAAACATTTAGCTTGACCTTCATCAAATATCATCAGCCATATTTTTTCCCTTTGTCTAGAGTCACAAGCAGCAGTGATGATCACAGCAGCAGCAACAGCAGCAGCTGGCTGTGGTCATCCCACAGATACAGCAATGGCACAACAGGACCACCCCTGGGGACAACCAACACTTCTACAGGGGGCTCTTGATGGAAGGCAGCTCAGGGTCCGAGGCAAGGCTCCTGGCTAGGAAAGTCACTACAGAAGGCTCAGCCCTGGGGCCCACGGACAATCTGGGCAATTTATCTTAGTTCATCCTCCCTTTCTGCTGCTTAACCCCTCGATACGGAACTCACAGTAATACATACACCCCCTCAGCTCTGGTTCTCTCTCTTAGAATCACAACTAAACTCAAAAACTTTCCTAGAGAAAATAAGCTGAGACTTGTACTAAATTGCAGTGAACTTGGTTCAAGCAAAGCTGAAGTCATCCTTACTTAATGCTATTTTGGGGAGCTGCACGTTCCTGATTCCATCAGTGATGTAGACACTCACACTCCCTAAACACACTGAGGAGGCTACCAGTTTAAGCATCTAACTTCCACTCTCTGGAGAATCATGACACGATGATGCAATAAAATAACTTTCTGGGCTTCTGGGATGCTTTTCTGTAAGGAAAGCTACCATAGCCCTCTGCCAGTGGATGGGGGTGACCAGGGGAACTAACTAGTGAGGGAAATCAGCTCTGCTCAGTACCTGGTACCAATTCCCCTCTCTCCTCTCCTCATGTAACAACTCATTTTCTAGCCTGTGGATTAAATGGAACCTTTGGCATCTCCTCGTTCTCCCTGACTTTGGACTACCTCACTAAATGTAAAAGAAGATAGGGAAAGTTAAAGTCTTGTTGCAAGTTTATCAACTGGTAGGGAAACCACTTATAATACTAGGCACTGGATAGAAGGGTAAAGTGTTCTGGTATTTATAATGTTAGTTACAGAAACCACATGGCAAGGGGACACCTTTCTCTGTGAAACACAGCTGCAGGTACTGACATTAGGTTTGGGGGGTTATTAATGGATTTCCTTGAATGCACACTAACTTCTAACTCCAGATATTAACATAGATGGAAAATTGCTTTGCTTAAGTGAAGTAAAGGGTTTAACTACTTAATAGTCTGAAGGGTTGGTGAATCAGTATTTATCAAAGCAGCACTGGTCAGAGGGCATGTACCTGGGGAACCAATCCTTCCCCTGTAGTCCCTCTTGCCTCCCTCTCCAGCCATATCTTTGCCCAACCAATGAAACTGCTCAGAACTCACCAGGACATTTGCAATTTCACATATAAACAGACTTCAACCCCCTCCCATGAGACAAAGTCCCCTCCTTCCCCTTCCTCACAAGATCAAGTTTCCTTTACCTGCAAATCTTGCCTCTAGCTCTTCACTTTTGTTTGGGATGATGTAATTATTAGATGGTACAAAGGTGCAGCAGGGACAGTGTAAGCTTATTTTAAATCCAAGGTTCCTATCTGGAAAACATAAAGTCAAGGAGGTCATTCATGTGCAAACAACGCACAATAACTTAGAGTCACTGAGCATGTAGGGGGGAAACAAAAGTTGTAACCTTTGTGATGCAGCCACTCATGAACAGCATCAGTCACATCAAAGGACAGCCATTCGCCCTCCGCTCTCGTTTTCACAACTTTGCTGTCAATGTAGCGCTGAGTTGGAGATGTTAAATCTTTGGATTTGAGAATCTAGAGCAGGAAGGAGCAAGAGGAAAGGCTCAGTTGGCATACCAACAGCATGACTAAAGCAAAATTATCCACAGTATTCCAGCTCATCATCTAAATCCAGCTCCACTCTCGTGTGCCCACATATTGTCATCTCACCGGTGACCATGTATGTCAAAACAACCCCAGGCCATTTGGCATGAAAAAAAGGGCTACTAAATCAGCTGTGTGTTATGACAAAGGTGACAGCAACCATAAAGCCAAGTGTCTAAAAGAAAGTGACAGTAATTATTTTACTTTGCTGACATAAGCTTGCAATTTACATTGCAAGATGTCAGCCATAAATTAGATGCTATTAAGTTAATGGTCTTGTTCTGCTTCCCAATTTATTTCATTCGGGGAAAGGGAGGTGGAGAAAGAAGGGAGATGGAAGGGATCCAGTTCCAAAGATGCAAGTTCTGAAGTCAGGGCTTGAACCCCTGTAGACCAAGGAAAAGCTGGCTGAGGGTTTGGGTAGGGATTCAGTATAGCTCAGGGAACTCAGGCACGCTGTTTGATTGGTTCCTAAAACACCACCACTGAAAGACATCCTCTGAAGTCCTTGAATTATAAATCTGCTTCTAATAAAGAAAGGTCTTAACCCTGGTTCCTAAATCCACTGACATGAAAATATGTGGCCTGCTTCCACTTTTGAGGGAAGTCTCTAGCTGGGATTTTTACCCTCAGTGTGACTTGTTGTGATTTATAAAGATATTCCATATCCTGCGGACTAAGCAGGCAGGCGCTGTCTGGCACACTCCACAGTAAAAGTCTGAAAGCCAAGCAGTCTGGATGCTGAGACTTCAGGAGGATGCAGTTGTTTCAAATAAGAGCAACTGCAGCATATACTCCAGTTGCTATAGGTAAGGAACAGTTTAGGTGGCTTTAAAAAATTCTTTTTTTTTTTTCTAAAGATTTATTTATTTATGCATAAAGAACTGGAGTACAGGCCAGAGGTGCAGGGGTGCTGAGAGGATTCACCAGAGACAGAGTGGGGAGCAGAACAGGCAGATCAACAAAGTACACTGCTGAGGGGAGCAGCAGGTGGGTCAGGAGCAGTCTGTCACGGTCTGACACGCCTTGTGGGTCACCTCCAGGGCGGAGCAATGGAACTCGCACTATAGCGGCTGTGGCCAGCTTGCAGTGCTGCATCCTTACCGGTTGCACCACCAACGTCCCACAATAGTGGTGTCTTAGGAACCAATCAAACCCCGTTCCTAAGTTCCCTGAGCTAAAGCAAATCCCCACCCATGCTCTCAGCCAGCTTCTGCTCAGTCTACAGGGGCTCAAGCTCTGCCATTTTATTTTGCCCTCTGCGCTGAGATTAACTCTTCCATGGTCATCTCATACATACAGGTCTAGTTTCTCCAGCAAGTTCATAACTCCTGAAGGCAGGGGGCATGTCTTCGGTTGGATATCATCTCAGAATGCAGAGCTCAATGGAATCAATATCTATTCAGTGAGACACTGAATATTAAGATTTATGTACCATCCTTTAAAGCTTGAGAAATAAAAATATACCATCTTCCACTCATTTTAAAATGCACTTTGCTTCCAGGTCTGAACATGATTTGTTTCAGCTCATTTGGCAACAGATTCTTCCCAGAATGTTTGGTGTTGTGGCAGACATTTTTCCTGGATTAAGCAAGTTTAGAAAAGGAAAAGACATTCCTACCACTGAGCTCCAGGGTGCCCTTAGGAATTCTAGATTTAGACACTACTCTAAAAACCTGGCCTTAAGGTCCAACAAGTTCCACTCGTGGGAGAGGGCTTAGAGGTGATAATGATTCCACACACGTGGGAGATGTTCTCTGTGCGTGAAAGAAAGCCAAGAACTAGACTTGAGGACTGGGCATGTTGGCCTGGGGGCTTGGCACACTTGATTTCCTTTCATTTAATTCTTCCACATTCCTGTAAGGTATTTTAAGGAAACAGAAATGCAGGGACATTGAGCAACTTGCCCAGTGCCTCACAGCAAGCACATCACAGAGAGAGTCAAAGCAGGCCTAGGACATTGTCCCACTTCAGTGCTGTGTTTTGAAGGTCAAAAGAGAGGGGGACTTAGGGTTGGATTGTGAGCTCCCCTCATGCCTTTCCAGATGACAGAATATATTCAAAGACAGAGGCAAAATTTTTTAATAAGATTATAATAAATGTTGGAATAAGACAAAAATATAGCATGGGGAATGCACAATGCTGTCAATGCTGACATCAACCTATAACCCTAAGGATATTATTTAACAGCCGTCCAACGTTGCCCAGAAATCACTGCCAGTTGGGCAAATAAGACACCATGTTTCCAATTCAGAATAAATGATGTAGTTAGCCTAACATAAGAAAACAGTGATAAAACAGAGGTTAAGAAGATGCTTTCAGACACTTCCATTTGCCTCATTGACTAAAAATTGTCAAAACACAGAACTTATATTTGTCTTTAATCTTCTTCCCTAGCTGACCTCTTATAATGATGCAATCCTTCATAATCTTTTATATATTTTGCTTTGCTTCTAATAAGCACAGTGCATTATTCATCTCCATATTACTAGAGTTTAGACACATGTTCTACAATAAAATATTGCTTTCATTATTGAATTAGTTTTATGTATGTATGTATTTTATGGTTTATCAGATGTTTATGAATATAGAATACATGATAGGTAGGTAGATCAATCAATTGATAGATACAATAGACAGTCGGACAGACAGAAAGTTGATATATGATAGATCAATGCTGGATAGGTAGAAGATAGATAAAGAGGATAGAGAAAGACAGGCAGTGTTCCTGAAGACAAGGAGTTCTTTTTTTAAAAAATCATGACCGAGCCCTCCCCGGTGGCGCAGCGGGTTAGGATGCAGCACTACAAGGCAGCCACAGCCGCATTAGTGCTAGTTTGATCCCCGGCCCTGGAGGTATCCAGATGGTGTGGCAGACCTCTCCTGACCTGCCCGCTGCTCCACTCAGGAGCATACTTCATCTATCTGCCTGTTCTGCTCCCCGCTCTGTCTCTGCTGAATCCTCTCACTGCCCCTGCACCTCTTGTTAAGGGGAAGGATGTCCTAAAGGAACTGTGCAGTCTTGTGCAGTCTTGTGGGGGGAGTAGCTTTCTGGACTCTACCCCCAATTCCAGGGATTGGAAACTACAACTCCCAGCAGTACCAGGGAGAGAACTGCGAGGACCCAAGAGTGGAACTAGCAGGAAGTCTGGAACATTTGGGGGATAAATAGGGCACAATAGCATCTCTCGCTCTCTAGCTCAGGAAACAGATCTCCGGACCACATGACTCGGTGTTTTCAGTCAGCCTAGCCGGTAAGGTATTCCAGTTACTTTGTATCCCACTCTTTTTCCCTGGGTTGTTTCCCATTCCTTTCCCCTTTTGTAAATAAATGACCCTTTTGTGAAACCTGCAGTATAACTGAATTGTGAGCGCGAGGGTGAGGCAGGACAGACAGGCAGCCCAGTCCACTCTGGGCTACCCTGTAACACTCTGACTGTACTCCAGTTCTGAATGCATAAATAAATAAATCTTTAAAAAAAAATCATGACCACATTGAACAAGTGGCAGAAAAATAAATACAAAATGAAAAATCTAGAGAAATCTTCACTTCATAAATAAGTTATCCTAGATTATCAAGTTTTGCAAACCAGTCAAAAGGAAAAAAAGCTCTGAAATATTTTTCTCATTACAAGATAAATTCTGCTTCAGCACAGAAAACTGATTAATTCTAAGGATGGACAATTTCATATTCTCACATGGATGAAAAGGTCATCTATGTTTTTTACCAGTTCAAGAACAGGTTAATTTAAATCACTAGTCAGCTACATGGTTCTGAAACAGAGCAGTGACTTCGGTTTTGTCTGTGGGCTTGTTGTCTCCACTTCATGACCAAGGAGTTCTTAAAGCCACTTGTTGCAATTTAACTCCATTCTGTCTTAACCCGCCCTCACTGGGCGGAGGAAACAGCTGTTCTCCATCACTCAGAGATGATCCCTCATACTTGTGGAGACTACTATTAAGTCCCTCAATATGCTTGCTCTCCCTCTCTAAGCTAAACAAATCCAGGTCCCTTAACCTATGTTTAGAAGGGCAGTTTCCCAAATTTTTAATCATTTGAGTCTCTAACAAGGATGAAAGATGCTACAGAAAAGTACTCCTCCCCTGGCTTCATGATTTCACTGTAGAACTTACCAGAAAACCTAATCTCATCTCAGCATCCCAAATCCTAACTTAAAAGACATCTTCTTTCTAAGAATAAGTATGACCTCTCATATGAAATTAAACTGCAAAGAAAGTCAACCTGTTAAATACTATCAATTAGTACTTTCTCCAACTAAGGAGTTTATACAAAAATGACCTGGTCAGTCAACTTCCCTGTTTTGGCCTTCACTATCTGCCTTGCTTCAGTCTGCCACAAGTGCATGAATGTTAGCAGTCATGGGTATGCAGCTGTTGTTTGTTTTGAGAGCCACCATCGATTCTAAAGTCCTTTATGCATATCATCATGAAAAAGATAAATTTGTGGAGTAAGCGCTTTCTTAACTGGACTCCATTTAACTAGCTATTGATCAGTGTTACCTGTCTGTTCAGTACCATAAATTGACTGATGCTCAGTTTGCTGGATTCACTGCTGGTAACCTGCCTTCTCATATATTCCATGCACTGCTGGTCTCACCAGTTGAGCTGTACGTGAGCCAGTGCCAGTTGTATATATTTCTAAACCTGCTTATGATAGGTTTGATATTGGAATTATACAAGTTAATTAAATGGTCCAGAAATAGATGAAATAGAGGAGCAAAAGTAGAGAGGATTGTTAACTTTGGAAATGCCCTGTTGAAAGACTGAGAAAGTCATAAAAAGAAAAGTTGCTTAGGGCCCTCCCTGGTGGCACAACAGTTAAAGCGCAGCACTATGAAGCTAGCTGCAGCTTCAGCATGAGTTCGATCCTGGCCAGGGAGCTGACCCACATGGCCCTCCTGTGTCACCCA